TAGAATTGGCAGAAATTATAGTTAGATTGTATTTTATTTTTTTTTTTTTGCAAAATGTTGACATGCATTTCCTTTCATGATTATACGTTGAATTCATGCAAATCTTTTAATAAGTGATCGTATTCGTGACATTTCCAAACCGATATTCTCTAAGAATTGATTGATGTAGCTAATTTTGGCATGATTTAACGATGTTGATCTATTACTTTCAAAAACATACCTTTATGTAATAAATCATTGCGTTGACAATGCGCGAATGGAGCGATGTTGACGTTTCAAAACATAGCAGAGTTCACAGCTACATATGATACTAATGACATACGATACAAATAATATTAGCGTACATGTGGAATTTTGTGTTTTGTTGGACAGTTTAGACTAGTAATTGACTTGCAACTTTAAATTTACAACTTAAAGAGACATTTTGGACTAGCAGGAAAAAAAGGCCTTATTTTTTAAACTTTAAAGTAAAGTGAATACCACTAGCATTTGATATCGGCTCGCACATCTACTTCTAGCTACTTTTTACCAAAAATGGTTTGTTCAAAGGCCAAGTTCAGAAATTAAATTTAGAGTTTCGACGATGCTGAAAATTTTCAGTACACGCCCTGTTATCACTTGGAACATTTTATACTTTAATGAATCGAAGTTGTTGAAAAACGCAAATGCTCAGTTTCATTCTACTTTGCGCTTGATTGATTGATCAATTAAAGGCGATACCATTGATTTTTCTTGTTGCACAGCTGAAACTGTAATTCTAGAATACTTCTATTGAAATGACATTTATGCTTTTGGTAGATTCCTCGAAAGGCATTGATAATTAGTCCTGGATAGTACAAAAAAGCATTGTTCGGTATTTGAGTAGCCAGAAAATCAAGTAGTACAGTGATTATCACATAATTGTCCATAACGAAGGAAAATTATATCCTCTCTGTTACTAATTAGCGTCTCCTTGTTTGTCTTAAATTATGAATTAGTTTATATGACCTCAATGGAGTCCTGGGGTTTTTTCATCTTATACATGACTCAATCAATACTAAATGCATGCAATTGTTTAAAACAATCAAACTCAAAGACCTTCGTTTGTACAGATAAAATCTGTTTAAAATAATGACAATCGATGGTTTGACTTGTCGAGTATGCAAAAAAAACAGAATGCCGAACACTCAACTCTTCAATCAGTGCATGGCGCTTGTATATGCAAATCAAGGGTTTAAACAGTTTTTTTCGGATTGATACGTTTGAGCTTGAGAGGGTTTTTATTTAAAGTGTGGGTCAAAGGGTAGATCTTAAGACACGACTAACACGACTAAGTTAATTAAAATTTTCAATCGAAATGTAACTATACCACACGAGAATTTTTACGAGAATTGGAAATTGAAAACTTATCTCGGGATTGAAGCGTAGAAATTGAAATCGTATTTAACTTTTGCTATTGCCTACAATCAGTACTGTGTATTCTTAAATGAATGTCTAACTAAGGAATTGAAAGCGTTGAGAAACCTGATAAGGAGAGCTTATCTGCAAGTGCATTCGTATTTTTACAATAAGTTGTTTCAAGCTGAGTTGACTCAGTTTACTTCATTAAAAGTATGTAGACTGTATTGTAGACAGCTATCAACAACATGTAATCTCCTAATCTTATTTGAGACATGCAAACGCGTTTATAGACGCAATATATAATTGTAATATGGCTGTATAACCTTTTCACAACGGTCTTTAAAAGTATATGATGCTTTCAGCCAACCGAAAACATTAGCCATGTGTAATTATACATAAAATTCTTGACGTTTCGTAGGCAATAGGCAGTTTAAACTCTTTCGCAAACCCTTTTGCAAAGCCACATCACTAATTTATTTCTAATTACTGTTCTAGTATCGATTGCCTTTTCATAACTACTAGCAGATACCACAGTCCTGTAGACAAAGATTGAACAAGCTTTAGTAGTGTGAATTCCTTATTGCGTTTTACTAATGGAAAAACACGAGTGCATCTTTTAAAGCAGCTTATTTTCAATGATTTATAGCTAACCATAACTTTCTTAATGGTCTCCAAAGGTTAGGATTTTTGCCAAGAAAAATTTGACCTTGCAGTTAATGCGCACTTTGAAACATGTACGTATCGTTCACATCAATGGTCTTAAAATTCTTTACTTTCCTATTGCTAAACTTCATTATCGAGATCAAATTATAGCATATTTGCAATGTTTTTAATTTCCCTTTGAAATATACAGATTGTGGGCTACATAGTTAAATATAACTAGTGCTGACGGTAATACATTTTTAATTTGAAATACTTTCAATAACGCTTTTGGTTATCAATTTCTGAATAGTATTTTAGAGCAAAAATCTACTGACTTACTTTCTATCTCTACTGTTCCGCTAACCCAATGTACGCTAGCCATCTACAGCTACAAGGTGTATATAAAAAAGGATGATCTTTAGAGATAGTCGAATTGTGAAAATTTCAATGCCTATCACTATGCTAATCGCACGGGTACATAATTTTTTTTCAGCTTCGTCCACATATAACTACAGGGTTCATAAAAAAACTGCAAATACTATAATTGTAGTATGCACGAGGTCATACTTTCACTGACTGTGCATATAGTTATACGCGTCTGGGGATTTGAAAATACGTTTTCACGTGCATTACTATCAAAATTTGAGCCTACAAATTATTCATATGTGAATTAAAATTAACATAATTTAGACGGAGGTTGAGTTTGCTTCGGTATACATTTGAAGCAAAAAATTTTCTTAGTTTCTCTTCTTAACCGAGCTATTCGTAATCGAACACATAAGTTTAATTCACTTTTTGTGCTTGGTTTTATAACCATGAGAATCGCATTTAGTTTAAATCCCTGGAGCGCAATTAGTTCCACAGCCATTGAAATTGTAATGTATATATAATCTCGTGTACATAGATTATGATTATTTGCAGGTTTTTTGATACACCCTGCATTACATATCCTTGTTAGTGCCATAAAATGTTTCTGCCCCTGGGAGTATCGCTTTAATTATAACTGCAAAACATGGCCGGAATGCATCATGCATCCATTGAGATTGCACTTAATTACCAAAGGTCTTCTCTCACGATACACCCTGTACATCGCGCACTATTTATGGTGGCTAACTGCACCATGTTTTATAATGCAACTAATTATATGATAAATATATCGTCAAAATATTGATGAGGTACGCAACTTTGCGATATTAAATAAACCTTTTGTAGACAATGGCACATTTTATAACTTCTATAAGTTGTAATTTCTACGCGGATTTGGTTTTCTTACTTTGGAAACTAATCAACAGCATCTCAAACTAACTTTTTTAGCAAAAGCAAACTGGACCTCAGCTGCAATATCTTTGTCATTTATCGATTTACAGCCTGCATGTTAGGTACAAAAAAATGCGCACATGATAGTGCTACATGATATGTTGTTTGGTTTAGCTATAACTCGAGACACTTTCCGACTTCAAAAACAAGGTCTTGCGATTCGTGCCAACAATTATAAAAGAGGCATGCAGTCGACTGCATACGTGTTAATTGCCGATTATCCAGCCACACTTTGTCGTGCAAATCGATTTTGAGAAGGAAATTACAATTTTCCGTTGTCCACTGCAATTAGAAGGTCAATCAATGTTTGTGAAGCGAATGCGTATACTATAAGTATAACAGCATAATCTGTTTCAAGCAAAAAAATAAATTTCTTGGTTGTTTTATTCTCGCTTGTACAGCCCATTTATAGCCGCCGCACTTCTTCATCGAAATGGGAGTGAGCGTTATCTTTCTATTTTACAGCTACAGAGAACATGTGTGTGTGTGTTTGTGTGTGTGTGTGTGTTTGTGTGTATTGGCACTAAACCGCAAAGTTTAGTTGTACTTTTTAAAGTGTTTTAAGTCATGCAGAAAGAATGCAATTAAGAGAATCTGGAGGACGTCAAAGCAATTAGGAAAATTTCCAAATTTTTCGGATATACGTCTTCTACTTATTGATCTTAACATTGCTACCATAATCATGCACGTGGTGATGTGGAAGGTCGCCATCCTCTAATTTGATTTTGTACCACAACCATTGTTGAAAGGCTGCTACATGTCGAGGAAATGTGGGTTCCATGTAAAATTTGTCCGTGTATCTTTTTCATTTTAAACGAAAATTCATTGGTGCTGTATGGAGTGTATGTCTACCTGTCTTCAGTCAGTCATTTTCACCATGTGCACAGGCAGTGGTAGTGCACGCACATTATTCAACAAATAACATATCCAAAACCTTTACGCTTTTTCAGTGCTATTGAATTGCCTGTAATCTTGCATTTCATCAGTTCTTCTTCGTTGTTCTAATTGGTTATAATCATTGTTCTAATTGCTAATGATCTGATTTAGCTATGACGTCAAACTATATTTTGTTGAAAGTGCACTCTTAATTAAATATTCTTAGTCGTTCTGAGCACCATTCACCTGCCAGTAGTACCCATATCTCTTACAGCAATGTTATTGCAAGGGTTGAATCTAGCCTACCATTCTCCGGTTCTCTCTTTCTACCGCCAAAGCCCACTTCTATTAAAAGAAAATTTCGTATTTCTGTAAACAGACAGCCCGCTAATGCGACTCGTATAATTGTATAATAATTAGAATAATACATCACTTGTCATTTACTTTAAACTTACTCACGTCCTCAAATTATTGCCAAAAGTCTAATCTCAAGGTCATTATTTTTGACTGCAATACGATGTTAGGTTAAATCCAAAAGATCAATAAAAGTGAGGAATGTTAATTAGGTTTATCTTCGATGCTGTTTGATAGTCAGACGAAGCGATACAGTGTTATTTGCATTCATGGTATTTTGTTCGGCATTCCGTGTTTTACCACGCATGATCTAGCGGCTCCGTTTAAGTGAATTAATCGGATTTGAAGAGCTTGTAAGCTCGCGCGCCCAGGTATGGGTTTGTGACTTTTTACGAAGACCGGAAACGCATAAATACATTGGGCAGTGAACTCTGCTCCTATTCTGTGACCGTATACCTACCTGCATGCGGTCTTAGGGAAACACTTAGGTAAAGATATTCAACTGTCTAGAACTGTAGAAGGCATTTGTAAACACGACGAGACGCAACAACAAGCAGTCACGGCTTATACTAGAAGAAAGTCACACACGTTCGTATAATGCGTTGGTTTTGCGTCACCTTTACCTCACAAACCATCTCAATTGTACTTCTCATATTATGGTGGAACGTAACGCTATGTCTCACAGGCGGCCGTGACGAATTTTACAACAAAAGAAACAGTAAGTGAAACGCTTCGAATTCATATTCCATTTTGCTTCGTTTATTGTGGTGCAAGTCGTGGTTTGGTCGTATAATTTTCATAATTTTCACCCCCAAGCAGTAGCAACAAGCCTTTTTTCTTTTTGACCATGCGGAATTTTTAATTTGATTTCGTGTTCAAGCGACCACAATTTCAGTTTATATTACAGTTATCATTGTGGATCACGGCTCCGTGGTTGTTCCGGCAAAAATTAAATCTTGTTACCCTTGTTTGGTGGAATTGTTATGAATATGTCACTTGTGTTAACTAGCTTCGACCCGATCCATGAGGATCTGTTTACACACGATGTTTTGTTTGGCTGTGTTTTTCTTACTTCTCGTAAAATATCCCAACTTATTAATAAGTTTTTCTGTTGTTTAAAGTAAAAGAGCGCCCTTCATTTATTAAATAAAAAGTAAAAATACGCATTATCCTTACTTCTCATGGCAATCGAAGGCCGATTGGTTTGGTCGGAGCAATGAAATAAATACATTTCAATTCGATGGCTGGAAGCGATATTCTCAGACGCGCGATCGACGTACACTTATTTCATCCATTCATTCATTCAAGAGAAAGAATATCTCAATAGAATGACGAGTTTGTTTACATATAGTATTGAGGTTCGCAGTTAACATCCGAGCGACATGCCTTGTTGAGCAACTTAAAAAATATGAACACATCTGTCGAAATAATTAAAATGTAGTTTAGTGTGTTGCAAATGAGGTTTTAATGCTGTCATTTAAGCAAGGCCGTTGCTCATGGCGATGATACTACAACTATTCGTGATTTGTGAACGGCGCATATTGGTGTAATTCAAACTAGTTTCCCCGTCAAATCCTGTCTTACTGTCAATTATCTTGTGTGGCGTCATCTATTTTATAATATTTGCAACTTGGTGTGAATTTGCAAATGTGTTATAATGTACCACGGTTAATTCTGTTTGTTTGTTTTGTATTAGCGTTCATTTCGTTTGTATAAGCAATTTGTATTTCGCAAGTTTAAAGTTTAGAATTCGGCTAAAGCAGAAAAATCGATTTTTTTGGTAAAATATCTGAAAAAGAAAAACGTTGCGTGGGCAAAACTATTCGTGTTCGGCTTGCTGCATCAGCCAGAGTTCATTTTGTCGGCGTTTTCATAACATTCCTTGTTGTACGTTGTACGTCCATATTGAAACTATTAGCCTCGTTACTGCATTGTCTCTCTCCATCTTCAAAAAGTTTCATTTGAAAATTGCGACTTTCAATGTTCTAATAACATAAACAAAGTGAATTTAATCTTTTGTTTGACTTCCATGTTAGCACGTCTCAAATTAAATGTTAGTATAATTTGGACCGAGTACGGTCGCATCCAATTTTACAATGCGTTCCACTTAAAATTATACTTAATGCAATATATCTTATATTGAGACGGATATCGATCGATTTTAATGCAATTGCGCCGTTGATGGGCTTGCAAGGGCGTGTGAAAAAGCCACACATCGCTTTATTTACTCAACTAATGGCGCTACGTGTTGCACAACGAGGCGCCAGAACATATTTCAAAGCCTGATTTTACTTCATACTGTGCTAAGATAATAACTATAGCGATAATGACTCTAGAAGCGCATTTGTAAAGCAAATTCATAATCGTCAAAGTAGTTTGACTCAATATAAGTCTATGAAAGGTATTGTTTGTAGAAATTACGGATGTCTCCGTGTTTGGAAAGGAGGCGGTTACACTCACCACTTGCTGGAAATGACTTTTAGCCTTTTTAGGTTTCTAGAGGGTTTGCGTGGCTATTTTCATGTACTCGTCTTGTTTATATATAGCATGTAGATTGTAGAGCAATGTCATTGGCGTGAACATGTATATGGTGTGTCGCCAAAGCATTTCATATAGCTATTTTGCAATGAATTGGCCAATTTTTGAAGCTGACAATATGAAATAAGTATTTTAAATCCCCGTATAAGCCTTGTACTCTCCAGACCTGATAATTTGAATTTCGTCTCTGAAAACACCAGTTTGTGAAGCGAGAGAGAAAGCAGCTGCGATGGGAATTTTAGCGTGCCACTTCTGTTTGCTCTGTGACGGCAATTTGTCTATTAGCAATTATTTCACTTTCTTTAATATAAACACTTTAAACTTAACTGCTTCTTCTTCAATCACTGAAATTATGCTTTAAATATATGTAGCATGTAGTGCCATTTTGTATACATTTCTATTACAAAAACGTTACTACTGTTTTAGAAATAACTCATTGTAAAGCAGCCGGAAAAATATTTCACGAACTAATACTATCTTCGACAAAAAGTTTCTCTCTATTAGTTATTATTTTCGTTTCCAATAGCTACCGGCCAAATGTATGGGATTTTCGGTAGTTTGTTCTGATGGACTAATTTAACTGTGTCTACCACTTGAGAAGGAACTGTTTTGACTTCATTGTGAGAGTACATAAACAAAATCAAATACTCGTTTACAAGTGCTACGCTTTTTACAAACTATAATTGATTTTATTTGATTGAATTAGTCCAGCAAATCACACTATGCTTTTTCAGAAAATGTAATAACCATAAAATGTAATTGCCCTAAGGCTGAGCACGTGCGCTAAAAATCACAATTCTTGATGAAATAAAAGATAAAGAAAGACCATTGTTCATGCTTTTTTTTCTCGCTCTTAACTTTTCCCGAGGAATTCAGTCTATAGTCCGTTGCCTGTGGCCTCAAAACATTCACTTTCGTAGCCACCATCGCGGTGCTAGCTAAAGTTTATGAACGGTATTCTATAGTTTTCGACATGCTGAATTCAAATTTCTTTGTTCCCACTCACCAAAACCCGCAGTTTTTTAGAATTTTGATGATGAAGATCCCTCCCGTTTTGTTGTTTAGGCGATCTTTTTACATGAAGTTATGGCATACCGCTGTTATTTTAAGGCGAGTCGTTAGCTCACAGTTCATTTAGAGAGGTAAACAAACCGAAACACAATTTTCTTGTAAGAAGGATTATGCAAGTTAACAGAATATTGAAGCTTGCTACCAGGTCAAATCAATTTACGAATTATTTAATAAAGAGGTGTTATAATACGAAGACAAGGTTAATCGAGAAAGATGTAAAATCGTGATGGTACTTATTAATTTTCACTGTTCATTTACTTCATTGTCACTTGACAATTCTTCGTCTGAAATTTCTGCATCAAAATCCTCTCCATACACATCTGTTTCCAATTCTTCTGTTGTATTAAACACGAAAGGCATTACAAGAAAATTGTGTTTCGCTTTGTTTACCTCTCTAAATAACTGTGAGCCCACGACTCGGCTCAAAATAACAGCGGTATGGGATAACTTCATGTAAAAAGGTCGCCTAAACAACAAAACGGGAGGGATCTTCATCGTCAAAATTCTAAAAAACTGCGGGTTTTGGTGAGTGGGAACAAAGAAATTTGAATTCAGCATGTCGAAAACTATGGAATACCGCTTATAAACTTTAGCACCGCGATGGTGGCTACAAAACTTTATTTCTAAGGACATTTTCCGAGGCCACAGGCAACGGACTATTTGTGCTGCAGTGCATGACAATGGACAGTAGTTTTTGTGCGCATGCTCGTTTCTTCTCAATAGCGTTTGCGCATGTGTCCCTCTCAATAATTTTCATTTCTTCATTTTTCTCAAGAACATTTATGTCTTCGTTCCTAACTTCATGTATAATTTTTGCTTGCTCGTTCTTGGTCAGTAAACACGAATTACTAAATTAAAGAAATAAAGTATTAAAGTATTTCATCAACGCATGCCCCCATTTGAGCGAATACATCCCATAACCACTACCCGTGTCTGGCAGTTGTTCATTTTAATTAAATTATCAAAACGCTTATTGATTTTTGCCGATTGCTCGGTAAAACTATATCAGCAATTGTGTTAAGAAAAAAACCCGAATTTCTTTCAACACACGCTCATTTCATAATGCATGTGTAACCATTTTTTCATTATGACGCAACAATGCGCCTGTACGTCAAAAGTGTAAAGACCGCAATTATTGTTTCCATTGACATAAAACATACATGCCGAGTCTCAGTTTACAAATCAATCTAAATTTGCCACTCGTCTATTAAAAAATTACTGTGGAGCCATCAACCTATTTAAAATTTTCAATCATTTTAGGCGTGTAGTCATCGCAGTGCATGAACACATTTTAGCAGTATGTTATTTTTTTCTTAAACCTACAAAAAGTAAGCATTATCAACAGACGAGTTAGCATCATGTATGCGTATTACAACATATCGTGTATTTATACCGATTTCGAAACATTAGAGTGCTCAATAGGAACGAAGACAAACAGCGTCATCAGTTAGATTATATGGGGGGAGGTGTGGCTCTCACCCTAGCTGTGGCATCACTGAAGACAAGGCAAAATAACAATACAATTATTGCAAGAGATTTGCACACTGTGTTTTACGTATTCAAAAGTCACAACCCAATTCAAGATGGTGTCACAGGAGAGAGAAAAATTAGAATTATTCTGTACAACATGTCTTTGGAGTTTTTGTGGGTAGCCACTGCGCATACGCTGCGTATACTACACTGAAAAAGTGTCCGTTTGTCTGTCGTTATCCTCGGAGATAGTCGGCTATACAGATGACGAAGAATGCCACTTTGAATGTTCGTTGTTTTCTACGGAAAATATCGCATGTTGTTTCGATAACTAAACTATTACTCATTGTTTTCTCATTATTGTTCTGAGGAAAATTTTCCAGTGAAGCAAAATCAAACTTTGTAGTAAATTAAATTAAAATGCAATGTCGCTGTCAGTTAATTATGCTTGAAATATTGGTCATATTTGGTACCTCGTTTGCTCATTTGTGCTTTGTGATCTAAAGTTTACGGCATTAATTTAATCGTGTACTGCGTAATATTATCATTATGACAATGATTCTAAGTACATGATACATGTCATTGTGTAACAAATGCATCGAAATCCTTGCTTTGTGTGAAACGTTCATCCTCATTTGT